TATGTACGATGCTGCCTAGGTGGCTCTGATAAACGAGAGTAGATGTATTACAGCTATGAGAGACATGAGGAAGCGTGTGCGACCTGTCTTGGCCTTAGGCAGGGAGGTAGTGATATCCTCAAGGCCAAAATGCTCGCTTTTATAGTGGAACGTTTCGCTGACGTCATCACATGCGCAAGATTTTACCCCCACCTCTCCGACCCCCCCTGAAATAAACTCATAACATTGGAGAAAAACCAACGACGAGAACGGAAGTGTCGAGGCAGGTGACGTGAATAGCCCTAAGGCAATAACCGCCGCTATTCGGGGCTTCGCTTTCGGCCAAACCTTATCTACTCTTCCAACCTGGGGAGGGAGGGAAACGGATCGAGTGATAGTAGATAAGCACAGCCGGCTTCCCCGAATTATTGACCTAAGGGGATGACGATTGCTGGAGGCTCCGCGCTTGAACCCAAGGGGAGGTGTTGAGATACGAGGATGGCTCCTTGCTACCCAAACGAGCGACTGCTTCAAAGTTGTTACACTGTAGTTTGGTTTCGTCTGCTCTGTCTTCTTTGGGAAATATTTGTAGATGGATCTTGTAAGGATGGATATCGATGATCAACACCAGAAATGACGAGGATCGGAATAGGGATCTATCCAAATCCTCATATCCCAGTGTACGCGGTGCTGGTTTCATAAAGAGAACGAGAAAGAAAGAAAACGTCCAGATTCGAGGGCGAAGAGGCGGCGAGAAATGAAAGATGATGACACCAGCTCAGATTTCCTTGCAGCCTACGGCTCCTTTTCCCCGTTTCCATGTGACCATTATATCGTGCAATTCATTAAGAATAAATGTGAGTAAAAATGGAAAATATACTGCCCTCCAAAAGTCTTGCAATACTTTTTCGTGAGCGAAATTCTCAGCACCTATGGCATCATCTGCGAAAATTGTTATATCCTCAGACAGCTTAATATGTTACCTTTGCAGAGCGCTCACTCATGTCATGATTTTTGCCATCGTTTGTCCCAAATTTGACTCAGAATCTGTCTGGTTCGATTTTTCAGCGTGGAACAATTAAAATCCGTCCCTAATCGATTGTTGGAAATCCATTCGGCACAACAACGTTGTGTCAACATTGAGAAAAGGTTGAAACGTTGAGACTTGGTAGAAGCTGAGAATTCGACAAAGAATCAACATGAAATGCTGGCTATACGTAATTAACCGTATTTTCAGCATATGGCGACTACTCGTGGATTAGCGAAGTCATTCAGAGGCTATTAAGCGCAAATTCTTTTTCATTATAGTCTCACTGTTGTTTCTACGTGGAGTTATTCATTTATATCAACATAAAATGGGTTCTACGAATCGATGCGAGATGGCTCCTAACCGCTGATTCAGCAATTCTTACCTTGGTGCCCTGAAATAAACGGTACTCTATTTTTTTTATACAGTACCCAGTCTTTTCCCATGTATTAATACAATTCAAGGGAAGGCTTAGAAATATCTAGCTAGATCTGTTTAGGGAGGTAATCCGGCAGAAGGAGACTCTTGGTACTTCTTACCAGTGGGTCCAAGGAGACATGCTCAATTTTCTCAAATCTCCACAAGGCAGGCATGTACGGGTTCTTTCAACAAGGGTAGAGTAGGAAACCATGCCCGCGGGGTTGTTTCCTCTGCTGGACAAATAAGAGTTGAGTCACGTAAGTACTCAACTCGAATTCTGATCCAGTCGAGTAAATATAATCTTTAAGGATTCTCTTCGTAGGAGGATTGGACTCAACAGGGTATTGCATGTATCATGCCACTTGGGAGCCCTCCGTAGGATCATCGAGTCTCTGTTCAATCTCATCGCTCAATCGATATATATTTCAGACACTGGATGAGGGCGGAAGTACCGTAATGCCCAATCATTTCCAATTCATCGTTGACAACGTTACACAGCAGCAACTCTTCAACGTTGAACTGTTTCATTTCAACCATGTTTCAACATTGAGGCAACATTGTTACGTTGATGGATCAACCTTTGCTCAATGTTGACACGACGTTGTTGTGCCGCATGGGAAGCCTACTTCTCCACTTGCACGCCATGTGAGAAGCACGTTTTCTCTGTACACCTTAAGGAAAAACTCCTATCAGTGTCCTTCACAACCCTTGCCAGTTTTTTTCATGATACAAAATCTCGGTACCTATAGTATCAAGAGAAAAAAAAAAGTTATTTGAAGAACCCAAAGTTTTAGTTAACCCTGATGAAGGGGACCTTGTGTCCTTGAAACGGTGGTCTTTCCTATAATACATTTTCCGGTTCGAGGCGCCTTTTCGCGTTTTTCTCAAATTCTTCTTTGGAAAACTTATTCTCTTAGCTGCGCAAGGCGGTCATTACCATCAGGGTTTGAGCTACCATATCCCAAATATTTTCATGAAAATAATCTGGTTCGAAATCACCCCCTGGAACAATGACAGAGACATCACCCTGTCTGCATTCCTATTCCTGGTAAACCCGAAGAGTAAGCGTGGTGTCTTCGTCAGAACACTGGAGAATTGTTTCCCTTCATTTCCAAGCTGCCTAAATCGGTTGGAGACGGATTTTAATTGTTCCACGCTGAAAAATCGAACCAGACATCTGCTGAGTCCAATTTTGACAAACGATGGCACAAATCATGACATGAGTGGGCGCTTTGCAAAGATAACAGATTAAGCTGTCTGAGGATATATCAATTTTCGCAGATGATGCAGCTCTCCAAAGAGGTGGGCAGACGTTCCCTTCATGCATCCGTCTGCATCAGGAAAATAAGGAATTTTCCACTCATTTGAAAATAGGGAAAAATATCCCCGGGGTCCTGCGTTATGCATGGGTTAGGGGAATTCTCCCCTTGATGATTCTAGACAAGAATCAGTTGTCACGGACTGGATATAGCTCGCTTTGCATCGATTGAGAATGAATCCAATGGTTCTGAGAGATTTCCTAAGGGTATATGAGGTATGTAATAAATATTTCAAAGTTGTATGGGAAAGTGCACACTCCGAATAATTTTTGGGGATGCCTGGCTTCCTCTGAGAGCTGTCTCTGATCGGAAAAGATCTTAGTTACCCCAATGAAATAGGTAGGGTGGATGCTCTCCAAGCAAGCATATGAACTAGTCTAAAGCCAAAATTTGCATTATGTTGCAGGAAAACTATGAATAATTGGGCATGCAACGAGTAGATGACGCCCAATTCCAGGACGGTCCATCATTTTGATGATACGTAGAATTGATGCTAAGGAGTTTTGGCGTTATATGATTCGATGCTACGTGATTCGATTCAAATTTTTATTATTATTCTCGCGAGACTGTTTTCGATGCTACGTGTTTCAATACATCATCCTAGTTTTCTCTCCAGACGACGTTCTGGCACTCGAGGTTAAAGGGCAGGATAAGTTGATGGATTCGAACCATTGCATAATCACGTGAGAAATCGAACGGTCGAAACGCATCAATAGTTCAGACGAAGGTTATGTATGACTATAGGAAAACGGATTTCAGTAAACTACGTGAGTGCATTTCCGACGTTGATTGGGAGGGAAGAACGAACGGTAGAGAAGCAGTGGGAGGTTTTCAACACTGTTCAGGTAGGTTCCATGGACGCTTACATACCTGAGAAGTCGAAAGGATCGGGGTGTTGGGAGTCTCTCCGCAAAGGGCGCCAAAATAGCTGGGACCGGTCCTGTCCTCAAGGACGCCAGGGGGTAGTTCGTTGCGGATAGCGAGGCCATGGCATCATTCCATCACGCCAGAAACACTGGCTTGGATTTAAAACTGAAACATCGACGTTTGATTTGCTACTCAACAACAATCCATACGAAAGAAGAATCTCGGCATGTGTCGAGGATATGATAATCACCAAGAAAGAGATCATGTGTAGGACAGGAAAGCTAAAGGCAGGCGCCGCAACCGGCCCCAATGGGATTCCGGCTCGTGTCATTCAGGAACTTTCGAGTGAAGTATTGGTACCGTTAAGAATACTATTCCAGAGTAGCTTTTCGTGAGGGGAAGTGCCTCGAGACTGGAAACTAGCTAATGTCGTATCGATCTTTAAGAAGGAAGATAAGAGCAATTTGGGTTATTACAGGTCAGTGAGGCTCACGAGTATTCCAGGGAAGATCATGGAGACCATACATAGGGATCACATCTTAGATTTCTTCGAGGGGAACGCGCACATCCTGGACTCTCGCACTATTTTAGGTTACTAATTTTAGAAATTGTCTTACCAACTTGCTCGAGTTTGACGATTGGGTGATGAAACAGAGAGATGAGAGAATTCTGTGGACATCGTCTATTTAGATTCCGCGAAAGCTCTCGATATCGTTTTTCACGAGAGGTTGCGGACTAAATTGGAGGCGCACGGTATCCAGGGTAGGACGAGTAGCTGGATTAGTAACTGGTTATCAGGAAGAGAGCAGCGAGTAATGGCTAATGGAGAGGGGTCGACAGAAGTCAAGGTTGCAAGCGGTGTCCCTCAGGGCGAGGTACTGCGACTGCTTATTTTTCTGCTCTACATTAACGAATTGAACCTAGAACATGATTCGATGCTACTTGATATTCTACTCCAGATCAAATTTGACCTCACGAGATTTGGTGCTTTGTGTTAACCATGCTACGCGTTTTATCCTAATGGAGTGCCAGTTTTTGGGCCTTCGCGTTTATGGCGCTACGTGACATCCCTCTTTCACTCCATCTGGTTCTGCTTGAAACCCCCCTCCCCTCCCCCCACTTATTTCAACTGTCCTCTATTAATCCAGTAAACAACTTCTGAACAGCCTGCGCTCTGGATGCTGAATGAGTAACCGCAGATTTCAAATTCTTCGCCTAGATGTCGCAGGTCGTGATTTCGTTGCCCGGTGGTGGCACAACCGCTTCTATTCAAACTGGGCGAGGGCATTCTTCAGCTGATACTTGAGCCGTCGCCATATACTTGCCGGGTTGTTGCTCAGTCGCTCCTGGCCTATTTTCGACGGAGTTGGTGTTATCCTCGAAAGATTCTGTGACCGTTTGCTGTTGGCTTGGCTTCCTTGTTTCTTCTGAAGCGATAGCAGAAGCCCAACGTGATTTCAACCGTGAATCATCTTCGACTTCAGACCGTTGGCCTCGTTTGTGATCGAATGGCGCAATCTAAAGATATTCCACACCTCAGTTTGGATGACGGGGTGGATGACTACGCTCAGGTGGGCCAAGATCGAAGTTCGCCTAGGTGTAGGCCAGTGATAGGCTAACTTAAGCATATGTTAGGCTCAATGGGAGGCTTAAGGTCTCCCAGTGAGCCCAGCAGCGATTTCATGTCGTACGGCTTGATTCGTTCACTGGTATTCAAGAAATTCCTGAGCTCACCTTTCTTTTTCGGCAGTGCCTATTGGCCGAGCTGGGAATAATGATCTTTAACATCACTGCTAACATAATACAGGTCTCTGCAGCCCACCAAACACGTGCATGTCTTGCAAGGAAGAGGAATATGCTATGTTTGCCTTGTGGGAAGACTGAGAAATCTTTTCCCACTTGTCAGCACAAAACTAGACAGCTCTTCATTATTGTAGATGTATCATGGTTGCTTAAAAGGTCTTATGTCAGGCTAGGAAGTAGATGACATGCAACTTAACTAATTTAAGATGTCTTGTGCTGGAGTGTGGGTAAATTGAAATCATCTTTTGATATCACCCATTAAGGGCTTCTTTCTCTACACACAACTAGGGTCTTGAGTGAGTCCTCTATCCTAACTATATAGATTTTAGGGATTTTGTCAAATCCTGCATCTTAATAGTTACTATTCTTTTGAAGTTGCTGAAAAAGATGCACATGGCACTAATAATTTGGTGAAAGCTATCACTCTGGAATACACATCTTTAAGGGCTTAGGGGCCTAACCTTACAAATTCTTTTTCCACTTCAGAAAGACAGCTCAGCCACAACCTGGAGGCCAAGCTCTCTTCCATAATTTCAGAGGAGACAGAATGGAAGAATAAATGAATTGATAAGTGAATCATACTGCCTTGATTTTAAGGCTTACCAAAAAGCTAATGGCTTGTCCTGGTCTGCCTGGGTTGGTTTACCAATATCATATGAGAATCAATAGGTTGATGCTTTTTGTTTTATTCCTATTAGTTGTTTATGAAAAAGCATTAAATCTAATTAAAAAGAAAGTGGCCCTATAGTTTTGTTTTAAATTTCATAAGATTTGGAATTTCTTTCATTGCCAGGGGTAGCTGATTATATAATCTCACAGAGGTTGTATTGATTGACCTGTAGCCATAGTTCAGGATTTCAAATGCACTAAGTTTTGTGTGGAATGGCTTGTCCCATAATGATGTATATCTTTAGTCAACTGAGTTGTACTTGTATGGCTTATGGTGCATCTGTCATGGAGGAGTTATACACAAAGGGCATAATTCGCAAGATTTGGGAATGTCAGAAACTGCCATTTGTTTTAAATTTGGAAAGAAATTTGGTTGATGTCTTTGGATGCAGAAAACTCATGATACAAACTGCTTTATTCAACTTTTTATATATATATATTTTTTACACAGTTTAGACATGCTACTTATGCTGTGTTCAGATTGAATTTATACCCATCTCCCACCCATAGGGGCACTTCAGTTTATAGTAATTTGTGATATCTTCCACATGGGTTAGTTTAATTGATCATCTGATGAGGCAGACCCTCTGAAAGTTGCATTTTCTCTGTCCTCCACCATAGGGGGATTATGCATTCAATCTGGAATGGTGCATGAGTCTGCCAAATCTTATTGGCTTTTTTTTAAATTGTATGGTAGGGGTGCTTTCCTTGCAAAGAGAAATGCTCATTTTTGACCGCAGGTTGTCACATAAAAGGACTGAGGTTCCACTAGTCATTCCCACATTTTGTGTATCCTAGCTGAACAAAAGACATTTCATATGCCAGGAAAGCATGTTGAAGTGAGAAATAAGCATTCCCAAACCCAACCTCCCCTCTATGAAAACCATGCCATCTATCATTCGTCCGTAAAATTCTCACTTGCCCAATTGCCAGTGGTGAGTATATTTTGCAGTTTGGCAAGTGAAAAGTAAACTAAGTACAGTCTAATACCTTCCTAATGTGAATTTGCATCAATCATTGAGATACTCTTGACATGTCTTTGTGTAGGTCTAATCATGTAGGAGTTGTATTTTTGGCCATTGGGAGGCCAGAAATATTATCTAGTCAGAAGAGTTAGTGATATCAAGAGGCGATTTCGCCCATTTCGATATCACGTGTCGAGGTCGAGCGTTCCTTAATTTTAGGGTAGGCCTAACCCTCTTAAAGCTAAATATTTTTGTATTTTTGTATTTTTTTATTTATTTATTACTATCCTAGTTGCTTACTGTCTAGAACCTACGTCAACATTGCCCCCCACCTTTTTGCCTGTCCATGAAAGCATCTAGTTTCTTCTTAAAGGTAGTCACAGAAGGGGCAGCCACTACTTCGTCATTAACGCATTCCACGCGTTCACCACTCTGCAAGTAAAGAATTCCTGTCTCGACCTGAGCCGCACCTGCGGTTTGCGCAACTTAAGTCGGTTACCTCTCGTTCTCTTGCTGTCATCAAACTGGAAAAACCTACCACACTCGACATTATCTATTCCTTTAATTATCTTGAAAGCCTGGATGAGATCGCCCCTCCTT